TCCACCCTTTCTGGCTTGGTAGACTGGATCTGCACTTAACTGACCTTCCTTGTGAAAGACTCAGTGGGATTCCAATTCTGTTTCCCCAAATAATGGAACTTTGCAGACTGAACCCTCCTACTTTTAAATACACACGACTGTATTTACTTCAAGGTGTTCATAAAGAAATAAAAGGTGGGGGTTGGGGATTTAGCTCAGTGGTAGAGCGCTTGCCTAGCAAGCACAAGGCCCTGGGTTCGGTCCTCAGCTCTGGAAAAAAAAAAAAGACAAAAAAAAATTTAAAAAATAAATAAAAGGTGAAGTGAAATACAAGGAAGAACTCGCCCATATCCCCCAAACAGCCACACTTTAAAGACAGGCTGTATTCTCTTGTGCCTGTTTGTATTAAAAAGATGTTTAAAAGTTGGGCTTGGAGGCACAGGCCTTCTTGTTGCTAGAGAGGCTGAGGCAGCAGGGTCATAGTTCAAGTCTTGTGTGGTTGATATATTGTGCACCCCAATAAACTTATCTGGGGGTCAGAGAACAGAACAGCTAGTATATTAAACATAGAGGGTAGGCAGTGGTAGCACACGCCTTTAATCCTAGCACTTCGGAGACAGAGATCCATCCGGATCTTGGATGTATCTCTGTGAGTTCAAAGCCACACTGAAAACAGCCAGGCATGGTGACACATGCCTTTAATCCCAGGAAGTGATGGCAGGAAGCAGAAAGGTATACAAGGCGTGAGGACCAGGAACTAGAGGCCTGGTTAAGCTTTTAGGCTTTTAGCAGCAGTTCAGCTGAGAGGCTTCCAGTCTGAGGAAACAGGATCATCTGAGGAACTGGCAAGGTGATGTAGCTGTAGCTTGTTCTGTTTCTCTGATCTTTCAACATTCACCCCAATACCTGACTCTGGGTTTGTTTTTATTAAGACTTTTAAAGACTCATGCTACAATCTTGCCTAAGCAATTTAGGGGATCCTGTCTCAAAATACAGACACAGATACAATTTTTCTGTTACCACTGCTGCCTTTGGAGTGTACTAATACATACAAAAATAATAATAAAAATAAAAACTGGGACTATAGCTCAACAGTGAATGCTGAGCACAAGGCTCTGGGTTCAATGCCCAGTATTGTACAGAAAGTACTATATATTAAAGTTGTCCACATGTCAGTTTCCATACCACATTATTTAAGTGACTTTAAAAAGGGAAGGCAAATTAGTGTGTATTAACTGCTCTCTTCCACCGACCTTCCTGTCTTACCTTTAGTCACTTGCTCTTCCACTGCGTGGATATTGATTGCACTTCAGCTATGGAGATAATATACATTTGAGTCCAAAGACTAGGTCATACTCTGTTATTTTGTTCTTCCATTGGTGGACACGTCTGTGTATCTCACCACCATGTGGATCTGGGAATGTCTCAGTCTCCGCTACTGTGATGTTGGGCTGTTTCATATTCCCGTGATTCAGAATGCTCTTTAGATATGGAGGCAGGGTAGCTACCGAGGAGACAGAGTGGTGTGAGAAGTAAAGGGGGTCCCTGTTGTGATTCCCACCCTCTCTGGCTGACATCCAGGAATTTCAGCTTACCTGACCAGACCACCTGCAGAAAATTGTACTCCCTTGTCTGAGAAACATCTCAAAAGAGATTGTTAAAGAGTAACCAGTGCTTCTTCCTATTCTAGCCCCCCCATTACTCCCCCCCCCCCGGCCATTTTTACCTGCAAGCTGCACAATATACCTAAGGAGTCTCCAGCACAGGATTCAACGGAAGCACACCAGCACGCACAGTCTTTCTACTGCCCAAACTTAGTCACAGATTAGATAGCTTCAATCTCACCTCCACCTCTCGGCCGCCAGCGCATTTATTGCTACTGCCGGGGCACTGGGAAGGGGCTCCTCACCCAATGTCCGCACCTCACTCTTCAAGTGTGCCTTGTCTTTCTGTTTAATCAAGAAACTCAACAACTTTCGTCTCACTTTGCTGTGTACTGAAATGTGTTCTTTGTGTGGATGTCAAGGGTCTGGGTGCACCTGAGTACCCTGAGAGGAATTCCCCAGGCTGCACTGCTCAGGGCAAAAACGGACTCACTTCCAAGGACTAGGCCCTTCCCTGGTGCACGTGGAGTTTATCTCGGTTCCAGAGGCTCACTTCAGACTGAGCATCTCTACAGCACACAGCCGCTGCCCTCCATCATCACCCCTTCAACGAAGGCCTTGATTCAAACAGGTACTGAGGACTGGCAGGTGTTCTTGAATCAGACCCTACGAGTATTCTGAATTTCTGTCGGCCCCCTTCCGGTCATCCATGACACTTTCTAACATGTTGCGTCATACCGCTCTGGTAGGAGTAAAGTGGTATCTGTGTTAACAGTGTAAATCTTAACAGAGAGCTTTAACTTTACTGTAGTCAAAATTATTGAAACTCACCTCATCACTTCTGCTTAGATTTGAGAAATTCTTCCCTTCCCCTTGTTTCCAGAAGGGCCATTTGCTTTCTGTTAACAAAACTTAGAATCCGTTTGGTTCTCTTCAGCACTTAGCACACTGGATTGCCGCTTGGGTAACTGAGTGGTGGAGTTTCCTGGCACCGTCCGCAGTCCGGCCTTTCCTGTTACAGGTGCTGCCCCGTGGAGTCTGGCCCTGAGCCCAGTCATTGTCCACATTCTCCTTGTTCTCTCATTTCCATGCTATTGACCTCTGGGAGCTAAATCATCTTTGGCTCCTTTTTAATGTGTATACATTTCAAAAAGTGTCGATTAAACCAACCAAACAAACAAACAAATCAAAGAAACCACAAAGTCAACCAGGTGTGGCGGCACACGATTTTCATCCCAGCACTTGGGAGGTAGAGGCAAGAGGATCAGGAGCTCAGGTCATCCTTGGGCACATAGCAAGTTTAATGCCACCCTGGGCTACATGAAACGTTGTCTTCAACCAAACCAAGCCACACACTTCCACTGAAACTTTGTTCCAGGTAAGCAACAAATGTATTTTTGTCTCAGTGTTTACATTTCATCCTCCTCTTCTATTTCTCTTGGTTTCTTATGGGCCGGGGAGGCAGATTCCTTGCTACCCAGGCTGGCCTAGAATTTGTGTTCCAGCTGTTTCCAGAGTTCTTAGGGCAAGATCTGGGTTCCCCAAACCTCAATAATCTGGGCTCAGCCACCTGTGCCCATTATACCAATTAATGAAATAGGGGAAAGGAGACTTATTCACTGCTACCACAGTGGGGAGAGGAATAAAGGGTCCAGGAGCCTTCAAGCCTGTCTTCATGGGCACTGACATAAGGCTTAGGTTTAAATAGAGGGCAAGGGGCTAATTAGTATGTATAGTTAAACGATCCAGGTGTAGGTATGGTCCTGCCATGGTCTAAGCTCTGCTCTCTCTCTGTGGTCTGATAAGTTCTCAGAAATGTTTGAAGTCTCCTTCTGGAAGGTAGATTCCTCCTCTGGCTGGCACTGGGGACTTAGCTTTTCCCTTCCCCGAGCTTGGAACTTCTGGGGGTGTTTTTATTCTCTGGGATCCATCATTTCAGCAGTCTGATAGGCTAAGGAGATGCACATCTCTCTTTAGAATATCTCTCCCGCCTGGTACCTTAACCTCTGCAGTGCTAGGATTACAGGGATTTGCTACCACATTGGGCTTAATTTTTTGACAAAGATCTATCTTGCTGACTTCAAAAGAAGAGGCTTCTATATTCCTTCAGCTCTTGCAGATACATGACTTGTATCGTTACTGGTTTGTACTTAAACATGATCCTTCCTCCTCCTCCTGCTGCTGCATTCTGAATCATCTTAAACTGAATCATTAGCCTCTTAACCCTTCTGTCTCAGTTACTTTTCTATCACCGTAAAGAGACCACGACCAAGGTAACTTGTACCAGAAAGAGTTTACTGGAGACTTAGAGCTTCAAAGGGTTGGAGTCCATGATCATCAGGACAGGGAGAATGGCAGCAGGCAGGCAGCAGGCAGGCAGGCCTGAGAACAATTGGCACAAGTTTGTAAGAGAAACATGTAGGGGTGTGGAGATTGGTGCCTCTACCCTCGAAAGGTTCTGTAACCCAGTCTATGAAATAAACTGACATCAGGCACGTTACAGGGAAACAGTTACTTAAAATTTGTTCATGTGCAAAGAATATTACATGAAAGAGAAGAGACTATCCTAAAACTCAGTGAGATCGACACGCTTATACCATCTTCAGAAGCAGGGAAGAGACAGGGAGATACAGGTAACTTCAGGAAGAGAAGCGGAAATGATTACAAGTATGGCCACAGACCTTTTCGTGCCTAGGTGTTAAGAAGTGAACTTGGAACCGGGTGGTGGTGGTGGTGGTGGTGGTGCACACCTTTAATCCCAGCACTTGGGAGGCAGAGGCAGGCGGATCTTTGTGAGTTCGAGGCCAGCCTGGGCTACCAAGTGAGTTCCAGGAAAGGCGCAAAGCTACACAGAGAAACCCTGTCTCGAAAAAAAAAAAAAAAAAAGAAGTGAACTTGGGCCCTCACCTTTTCAAGTCAAGCATTTTACCAACTGAGCCATCTCCCCATGTCCCTTATACATTATCATTGGCATGATTATCTCAATATGCCAAGGCTCCAGTCTAGGAATAAATGCTAGACCTCGTATCATGGCAGGAAAGGACAACAGCGCTTGCCAGGCAAAGTGATAGCGACATATTTGTTCTGATGTCATTATATGTTTGGCACAGCCCCTTTCTTTTTCCTTCTTGTTTTAGGGGTTCTCTTGCTGCAACGAAACACCATGACTAAAAAGCAAGTTGGGAAGAAAGGGTTTATTTGGCTTACCCTTCCACATATTTGTTCACCATTGAAGGAGGTCAGGACAGGAACTGAAACAGGGCAGGAACCTGGAGGCAGGAGCTGATGCAGAGGCCATGGAGGGGAGCTGTCTATTGGCTTGCTACCCCTGGCTTGCTCAGCCTGCTTTCTTATAGAACCCAGGACCACCAGCCCAGGGGTGACACCACTCACAATGAGCTGCGCCCTCCCACATCAATCACCGATTAGAAAAATGCCTTACAGCCGCATCTTACAGAGAGGCATTTTCTCTGTTGAGGTTTCCTCCTTTCAGATAACTCTAGTTTGGGTGTCAAACTGACATAAAACTAACCCGCATACTTCTGATCTCAAAGCTGATTCCTCTTGAGCCCCACTTGCTTTACATAGCCATCTGACTGAGTTAGGAGCAGCGAGGTGGGAGCAGCTGTAAGGTCATCCAGAGTTCGTACATGCTAGCAATAGCAAAGATTCTCATCGGACTCCTTTTTAATAATCCTGGCTCAGGCTGTGCCTTCAGGAGCCAGGGGCTTCTTTGTATGGTTGTCCCAAGGTATCTGTGGGACATCTGAATTAGCTGGTGTTGGCACAAATGCAGTCTTGGCTCTATGTTTGGCTGACATTCTTTTTCCTCAAGGCAGCCAGTGCAAGAAGAAAGAGTCCAGCAGCTGCCAATCAGGGAGGCAGATGGCTCCATCATTCCCAGCACCTTCCATTAGTGATCAACAGTGAACACCCAGATAGCAAAGACTTCAGAATTCATCATCAGCGCTAGTAGAGATTCCAAATGCTTCCTTTTGCACTTGAGGGCTCTGCCTTACGAAGCACTCGCTGTGAGTTAGGCTGAAGTGTAGGCACTGAGAGTGAGCAGTGAAGAGCAGAATCTCTGTCTTCTTTGGGCCTCTGTTCTATACATGCTGGCTAGTGTTACGTCAACTTGACAGAAACTGTAGTCATCTTAGATGAGGGAGTCTCCATTGAGAAAATGCCTCCAGAAGATCAGGGTGTAAGCAAGAAGCCCTGTAGGGCATTTCCTTAATTAGTGAGTGATGGGGGAGGGCCCAGTGCATGGTGGGTAGTGCCATCCCTGGGATGGTGGTTCTAGTTCTGTAAGAAAGCAGGCTGAGCAAGCCATGAGGAGCAAGCCAGTAAACAGCACTCCTCCATGGCTCTGCCTCACCTCCCGCCTCCAGGTTCCTGCCCTGTTTGAGTTTCTGCCTTGGCTGACTTCTGATGATGATGGCAATGTAAGTGAAATAAACTCCTTTTCTCCAATTGCTTTCGGTCCTTAAGGTTCATCACAGCAGTAGTGACCCTAACTAAGACACTATATGCCAACTATTTAATACATGCTCCCCCCGGAAGCTTTGAGTTTCTCCCAGCCTCACATAGTCCCCACTTTTATCTGCCACCCTGCTCCCTTTACAGGAACAATAAAAACCATTTTAGTAGGATGCCAACACCACAACTGGTACGGATTTGGTATCCTTTACTCTTTTTGTGCCGGGAAATGAAAGGATACTGTAATAGGATTCCCACACGAAGGATTTAGATCAAAAGACTATATACAACAGCTGTAATGAAGGGACCACTTACCAATGTGTGCCAGCTGCGCCAGTGAGAATGAAGCCATGCGAGATCAGGATGTGATGACCTAAGCCACCGTGTGCGACTCGGGAGGACCTCGCCCCAGCTCCAGATCTGCCTGCCTTACAACCTCCCTCAGGCCTCACAGCCTCCCTCAGGTCCTACATGGGAGTACCACGGGAAGACAAAGGCCGAAAGGATAAGAAGAATCTCATTTACTTCCTGTTTACTTCCCAGTGTGTTGAGACCATCCTAGGAGGAGTTCCTCTAGTACTGACAGTTGGACCCAATCACAGCAGTCAGCATCTTCTAGGCCCCTAAAAATCAGCCTCTACAAAAAAACCAACTCTTAGAAAAACGATCTCCCCAAAATACATGCTCAAAAAAAAAAAAAAGCCCTCCTTGTAATGGTGCCCATTTTCATGGTTGAACTATTCCCACCAGATAGTGAATAACAATGTGACCGAAGAAATGCACAGTATCAGATCATGTAATGTATTTACCACTCCAAGTACGAGAGGTGTGGATGCTTATCATATAGTTGGAAGAGCTTGGTACCTGACTTTAAAAATATGGTATTTAATTGTAACTCATATGCTTTTAGTAACTGCTGGGCTGAACAATGGACTCACAAAATGCCTGAAAAGTTTCCAGCTGGCTCTTTCAAGCCACCAAATGCTGGGATGTGGCCTTTAACACAGATTAATATACTCTTGCTTGAAGTAAGATATGCTGTTATTATAGCCCAGGTACAGTTAAGAACACTAAGTCTCTGGAGGAGTTAGCAGATGGTCAGAGCTCAGTGCTTAGGAAGACAGAAAGCAGGTATAACTTTCATCTTCCTACCTTCAAAGCTTGGGGAAGTTCTGAACCCTCACATCCTGGTAGCTGGGCAGTGGGTTCTCTTGGGCATTGGTTCCTATCACTAAGTAGGCATCCTCCGGGTGTTTGATTTCCCAAATTGGCCTTCCTCCTAGAGGAGGTGGTCTAGAACAGCTAGGGTGGAGATGAGTCAGTACGGTGGTTTGATTTAAAAAATTTATATTATATTATATTATATTATATTATATTATATTATATTATATTATATTATATTATATTATATTATATTATGTATCAATTACATAAAAATAAAGAAGATGGTGTCCTAGTTAGGGTTTCTATTGCCATGATGAAACACCATGACCAAAGCACCTTGTGGAAGAAAGAGCTCACATTTCCACATCTCCATTCATATTGAAGGAAGTCAGGGTAGGAACTTAAACAGGGCGGGAATCTGGGGTTAGGAGCTGATGAAGAGGCCATGGAGGGCTTGCTACCCCTGTCTTGCTCAGCCTGCTTTCTTGTAGAATGCAGGACCACCAGCCCAAGGATGGCACCACCCACAATGAGCTGTGCTCTCCCCATCAACCAGCAATTAAGAAAGTGCTCTACACTTTCTTGCCTACAGCCTGTAGATATTTTCTCAACTGAGTTTGTCTCCTCTCAGATAATTATAGCTGTGTCAAGTGACATAAAACTAGGCAGCACAGGTGATACAGCAAAATTCATCACAAACAATGCTAAAGACAGGTGACTATCTTGAAAAAGGAAGTGCAGTTTGCATTTTTTTGTATTGCAAAGGTAGGACTAATTTCTTACATATACACACTCACCTGTAGATAGATACGAGCCAGAATAAAGTCTTGTTCCATCACAGGATGTATGCCACCTATCACTGAGAACAAAAGAACTGTGTCCCTTTACAGACTCAGCCCAGGGACAGATAGTACAGACGTGTATTATCCTATGAAAGGGTGAGGGAGAAAACACAAAACATTTGTACATACTTTTTGTTTGGATTTGCATAAACTATGGCCATGACAGAAGAAGGAAGCTCAATGTGTATCTTTCCACATAGTTTTGACTTTTGAAATAATATATCACTTACTAAAAATAAAACTTACAAGGCTGTGTCAATGGTAGTTGAGGTCTGTCAGCATTTTGTCCTTCATTATTTGTATTTCAAAAAATTATATAACGATTTCATGAAAAACTATAATTTATTGTATTACTTTTTGCTACTTTGCCCAAAAATCCTCCCTCTGGGAATCTGCTCTAAGACACACTTGACAATGACGATGTAACTTTTGTTAACATTGAAAAATGTTTGCAATGGTAGCCAGTTAAAGCAATGGAACACACACGGGAAGGAATGCTGTAGTGAATTGCTAGGCTATGTCTTTATTAAACATCTAGTTCGCTGATAATATTTCTGGCTTAATTTAGCTTTGCTTTTTAAAATTTATAAATTCCATTTATTTATTGTGTGTGGGGCATGGGGGGTGTATGTGTGTGGGTGTGAGCATGCTATGACACACACATTGAGTCAGAGGACTTGTGAGCACCGAATTCTGTAGTGCGGGTCACAAGGATCACATTCGGATCTTCAGGCTTGCAGCAGCAAATCTCTTTAGTTTGGATGCATCTCACCATCTCTCTGGCCATGTTTTATTTACATTGCATTGTACATTGTCAACAAGCTGAAAAGATAAAGAAAACAATAAATTCTCCCCCTTTCCCTCAACATTTTCCTTTTGTAATTTGGCTACATAAGACACAATAAAACCTGCATGAGAGATTCTCCCCCGACTCCCTGGCCCACCTTTCTCCCATATGTGTTGGGATTGTTGTTTGAACTGGAAAACCCCACTGTTTGTAGTGTATGCACCACTTTGTTGAGGTCCTACAGGTCTTCGGTTATTTCTGGTGATTTTTCTCAGCCTTTCCCTTTTCCTTTTAAAAAGCTCCAAAGGCAGAGACAAAGCAAGCAGTGAAGGATAGAATCTGGATCCGTAAGAAGATTGGCTCAGCCCCAAAAGGTGCCTGACCTGCTTCAGTTCCCAGGACTCACGAGTTAGGAGAGGACCGATTCCCACGAGTTCTTCTCTAACCTTCACAGGAGACTGTGTCATGTGCTCTCCCTCTCTCCTCCCTCCTTTCCTCCCTCCCTCCCTCTCCCCCACCTCTCTCTCACTTACAAAATAAATAAACGGAATAATTAAAAAGAGAGAATATGCACGTGCCTGCTGTCACCTTGTAGTCTCAGGAAGCCCTGTCTTCAAGTCTCTGCTGCTTATATGTGTAGGTAGATCTGCCAACTCTACAGTCAGGACATCAGCTTAAACATGGACTCTTCAGACTGGATGACCATGGTCACATCTCAACCACTGGCTTTCAGAATATTTCACAATGACCACCAATATAAAATATTGGTGAAAATGATGCAGAAAATGCATGCACACAGCTTAACAACATAAATGTCTAAAATATATACTATATTCCAGGAAGATACTGTGATGTGACATGCTATAACATGTTCTCTTTTATTCCATTCCTACCAGGCTGTAGTCGGAAAACACTACTTTAGCCAGCCATGGTAGGCCATGTCTTTGTAATCATAGCATTTTGGAGAAGGAGGCAGGAGCATCAGGCACTGAAGATCATCCTCAGCTGCATAATGAGTCATGAGATCCCGTCACAAACCACTAAAAGCAATTCAGAGCAAATTACTTTAGACCTTTACTTTGAAGTCAACAAATGGAAGCCCCAAAATACAGACTTAGAGATTCAGAATTATGTGTAATAAATGTTCAAGGCCAGATCTCCCTCACCTTTGACACTGGAAGAACAGGAATCAGATTTCTCTCTCTCTCTCTCTCTCTCTCTCTCTCTCTCTCTCTCTCTCTCTCTCTCTCTCTCTCATACTATCTCAGTCACTACCTTGGTAGCCTGACCCAATTTCCAAGCTTTAAACACAGACATATATTAAAGATTCGAATTTATAACTTCACCCTCCCACAAGCTGTTATCAAGGCCATGAAATGATTCTGCACAGCGGAACTGAGGAGCTGACTCACGTTGGTCTATCAGCAGCATTTGAGTCAGCTGGTGAGTCTGCATTCTACTTGCTAATTTCCCAGGCTGCAGACTCACAGTATTGTGATTTGCCCTCTCTCAACTCCATCACTTCACTCTGCTTCTCTCAGAAACATCCATCTTAGAAAAACAAGTTTCCTTCTTCTATTCCCGAGTCTTCCAGTCATACCATATTTGTGGGCCTCACATTTAAGGAAGTGCAAAGCAAATTAAAATCATATCACTATATAGAGAAGATCTATCAGCTATCCAAACAATTTAAATCAAAAGAGAATGAACAGGAACTAGTTAAAATACATATACTAAAAATTTAGTAAGCATATGCTAACAAACATCCAATACAATACAAATTCAAACCAGGAGTTAAAATGCCTGCTAAAATCAATTCCCTGGAGTTCTGTAGCAAAAGCAGCACAAAAATGCATGTGATTCATATTGAGGAATTAAAAAAAGGTGGATTGATTTATTTTGCTGTCAACTATGAAAAACTCCACACAGTATTTTTAAAAGAGTAAAATAAAGTAGAATTTCACAAATTGGCAAATTAGCTGGATACAAGAATTCAATACGCCTTTACCTATTACCGGTAAGAGGCAACAACAGGCCATGAGAAATGTTCTAGTCACCATGGAAATGAGCCTGTAAATAGGAGTAAAGAATGTAAAAAGTACCTAGTTTATATGGAGAGAATAGTAGATGCAAAAATAGACTCTAGATCATATTATGTAAGAGGTTTAGACATAAAAGAGTTTATGTTAGCCCAGTGAAGGAAGTGAATTATTATTTATGAATGCTTTTGGAATAGCTACCTAAAACAACATTAAATATATCATTTATGGATTAGAAACTAATTTTTCTTTTCTTTTGGCAGTACTGGGAATTAAACCCAGGGTCTCACACATGCTAGGCAAATGTTCTACCACTGGGCTACATGCTAAGCCTATTTTTTTCAGCCCTCCCTCCTTTCAGCTTTCTATTCCGAGGTAGGGTTTTGCTAATTTTCCAAGACAGGGTTTTTCTGTGTAGCTTTGGAGCCTGTCCTGGAACTTGCTTTGGAGACCAGGCTGGCCTCGAACTCACAGAGATCCGCCTGCCTCTGCCTCCCGAATGCTGGGATTAAAGTTGTGCGCCACCACCGCCCAGCAAAAAGCAATATTCTTAAAATCTAAGATACTACACAAATAATTCAGTCACTGGGGTGTAAATTCTTAATCAAAACTTGAAACTCAGAAGCCATTAAAGACGTATGCATATTTAACACATTAAAACATTCACATATAATATTCAAAACATTAAATTTAATATGCATCACACAAAAATAAAAAAAAGTATGCCACACAAAAAATAAAGAGAAGAAAAGATCAAAGTTAGAATACTGCAATGCTGATGATGGTAAAACCAAAAACCTAAAGTTTCTTTTTCTACTATATTAAAAATATAATAGAGGCAAGGGGAGAGATGGCTCAGTGGTTAAGAACACTTGTTCTTTTTGAGAACAAATCCTTGGTGATTTGTTCCCCACACCCACATGGTGGCTCACAATCATCTGTAACTCCACTTCCAGGGCATGTACAGTGTACATGGGTGTGGGGAAAACACTAACACATAAAAATAAACATACAAACCCGTAGTGGAACAAGAAGACAGACCACTCTGAAAAAATGAGCAAGAAATACAAGCAAGCAATTCCCAGAAGCAATATTAAGGTAGCCAATAAACAAAGTAGATGCTAGTGGTCAAGATAATTTGAGTTGAAACTGAAATTATTTTGCATCCTTTCGACTCTGCAGAAATGAATTAGCCCCCACTGAGGAGGGAAGCCAAAACGGGCACGCTTCTGGAAGTTGAGCTACTCTTAGAATGTCATTTACTAAAACTGTAAAATATACTTTATAATTAACACTATGGAGTCCTATTTGTTGTATCATGTTCAGTTTAGTGCTTACCAATAGATTAACAAATGGATAGATCAGAATACTTCATGGGAAATACTTTTTTGGTTAAAAACAAAACAAAACTCAATCAAATCCTCCCTGAATTTAAGACAGCCTCTGGCTGTGTAGCCTCGGCTGGCCTGAATTCAGGATCCTAGCTTCAGCTTCTCATGTGCTTGAGATAAAAGGCCTGTGCCTTGACTAATTTGTTTTCTAAAGTTTTGTTGGAAAAGATGTCTAAATGTGCATATATATCACATTTCAGTAAAATAACCCTAAGTGAAAGACAAAGCAATCGTTACTGTTTATGGACAAATGTATTTAAAAAAAAGAAAGAGAGAGAGAGAGGAGGAAAGAAAGAGAAAGAGGAAAGAAAAGAAAGGAAGAAAGGAAGAAAAAAGAAAGA